GTGTGTGTGTGTGTGTGTGTGTGTGTGTGTGTGTGTGTGTGTGTGTGGGGCCTCAGCATGTGAAGATAAATGGTGTTCAGTGGGGTCAGTCTGGACCATCTGTTGTCTCCGGTCCATCTGTGAACTTCTCTTTACTATCAAACTATCACAATTACTGTCAGTGATACTCGACATTACTATTGTTATTATTATTATAATGCGTCTTTGTGAGCCAGAAACACTGACAAATATGTATAATATGAAAATACTTTGACCAGACTACAGCAGCTATGAACTGTAAATAAATACAATTTAAAATGAGCAGATAAAAAAATCAAATAATGATTCGACCAACATTCTTATCACGTCATTTTTTGTACTTATTAAAAATATTATTTTGAATCTTTATTGATTTGAACAGTTCTTTCAAAATAGAACACAATTATTAAAAAAAAGCTGATTTATGTTTAGAAGAATATTCGGTCTGGACTGGAGGTTTTTTTCACGTCTTCATGACGTAATTATGAAGAGAAATGACTCGATAAGATGGAGGTTTCAATACATGAAACTATAATAGATAAAGAAAAATATTGTATAAAAGCTTTTAGTAAAATTATAGAACAGCTTATGATATGAATGAAGAATTATAGCAGAAATGTATATATTTCACCATTGATAATTTCAAAGCTTTCAGCTGATTATTAAGTGTGTAAATCACACAGCTGACATTCTTTTAGTTTTTGTTACTTTTACTTGTTCTGCTTATTTGAGGAGATGAAACATAAAGAGACATAAAGGTAAATGTGATGCGCCCGATCTTCTCTGGTGTTTCTGGCCGGCGGCCCTCGATTCCTCTCAGCTCAGTGAGCAGAGAAATGGAGCGTGAGGACATCGATAACCCAGTGAGACTCAATGAATGTACAGTAGAGGAGGTGGGGGAGGGGGGAGTAGCTGAAACATGTCAATAGTTAAATATTTATAATACTCCTTTTTTTTCCAACATTGTTAACACTTGTTGGCTTTTGGAGAATTGTTGGATCTATATATTCCATATTTTTCCAATTTTTGTAAAAGAAATTATCAAAGAAATTCAACATGCGTGTTTTTTTTCTATTTTATGATTGATGTCATCATAACTGTTATTCTGCACTAAAGACGTGTTCTAGTTCTCTCTACTTCATGATGCTTCTGTTTCCATAGAGGAGCAGGACTTTTATTTTGAAGATCAAGACCACAGAGGAGGGTTCAGAGGGTTAAATATTTTAAGTAATCAACCAAATGTATCATTAATTGAAACTAGATTTTCATTTGAATTAATGTTAACAACCTGAGAAGAGTTCTTTAAATGTAATATCTTGAAGTCTGGAGCCTTTTGGACTTTATTTTTCACCAGCTTCTTGATCCAAACTATTGATTTCATTCTTAATATCTGTGGTAACTATATCTCGTTGACCTCCAGGTGAGCTCATGTTCATAACGACTGCACTTTAATCCTGTTGTATAACGTCAGTGAAGCTGAACCTTGAGCCCGTCTGTGGTTTAGGTTTCAGCTCCTTTAAGGTGGACTCTTCTTCCTCTTTTGAAGTTTGGATCCTGTCCGGTTCTCCCGTATCTCTCAGTCCAACACTCAGTCTGGATGTAGAACAAACCACAGCTGAGGAATAACCTCGTCTACTCTTTGGTGAACTCGTCAACAGATAACTGATCATTTGTTCATGTAGTTTTCTGGTCAAAGAATGTAAACAGGAAGTCGTGTCTGATGGGTGCTTAGGGAGGTCCCCCGAAACCTGGTTCTGAAGGAGTTAAACCAGGATTATTGATCAGAAGAAAAGGATAATCAATGAAAAACAATCATCAAAGAAATTTGATATGCATATATATATATATATATATGTATGTATGTGTGTATGTATGTATGTATATGTGTATGTGTATATGTATGTGTATATATATGTGTGTATATATATATACATGTATACATATGTATACGTGTATACATATGTATACGTGTGTACATGTATACGTGTGTACATGTATACGTGTGTACGTGTATACGTGTATACGTGTATACATGTGTGTATACATGTGTGTATACATGTGTGTATACGTGTATACATGTGTGTGTATACGTGTATACATGTGTGTGTATACGTGTATACATGTGTGTATACATGTGTGTATACATGTGTGTATACGTGTATACATGTGTGTATACATGTGTGTATACATGTGTGTATACGTGTATACATGTGTGTATACGTGTATACATGTGTGTATACGTGTATACATGTGTGTATACGTGTATACATGTGTGTATACGTGTATACGTGTATACACACGTGTATACGTGTATACATGTGTGTATACGTGTATACATGTGTGTATACGTGTATACATGTGTGTGTACATGTGTGTGTGTGTGTGTACATGTGTGTGTGTGTATATATATATATATGTATATACATGTATGTATATACATGTGTGTGTGTGTGTGTGTGTATATATATATATATATATGTATATACATATATGTATATACATGTGTGTGTGTGTATATATATATATATGTATATATATACATGTATGTATATACATACATGTATATACATACATGTATATACATACATGTATATATATACATGTATATACATGTATGTATATACATACATGTATATACATACATGTATATATATACATGTATATACATGTATATATATACATGTATGTATATACATACATGTATATACATACATGTATATACATGTATGTGTATACATACATGTGTGTATACATACATGTGTATACATACATGTGTATATACATACATGTGTATACATACATGTGTATACATACATGTGTATATACGTGTGTATATACATACATGTGTATATACATACATGTGTATATACATGTGTATATACATACATGTGTATATACATACATGTGTATACATACATGTGTATACATACATGTGTATACACACGTGTATACATACGTGTATACATACGTGTATACATGTGTATACATACATGTGTATACATACATGTGTATACATACATGTGTATACATACATGTGTATATACATGTGTATACATACATGTGTGTATATACATGTGTGTACATACATGTATATACATACATGTGTATATACATGTGTATATACATGTATATACATACATGTGTATACATACATGTATATACATACATGTGTATACATACATGTATATACATACATGTATATACATACATGTGTATATACATGTGTATATACATACATGTGTATATACATGTGTATATACATGTGTATATACATACATGTGTATATACATGTGTATATACATGTGTATATACATGTATATACATACATGTGTATATACATACATGTGTATATACATACATGTGTATATACATACATGTGTATATACATACATGTGTATATACATACATGTGTACATACATGTGTATATATATACATGTGTACATACATGTGTATGTATATACATGTGTATATACATGTGTATGTATATACATGTGTATATACATGTGTATGTATATACATGTGTATATACATGTGTATATACATGTGTGTGTATATACATGTGTATATACATGTGTGTGTATATACATGTGTGTATACATGTGTGTGTATATACATGTGTGTGTATATACATGTGTATGTATATACATGTGTGTGTATATACATGTGTATGTATATACATGTGTGTGTATATACATGTGTGTGTATATACATGTGTATGTATATACATGTGTATGTATATACATGTGTATGTATATACATGTGTATGTATATACATGTGTATGTATATACATGTGTATATACATGTGTATGTATATACATGTGTATGTATATACATGTGTGTGTATATACATGTGTATATACATACATGTGTATATACGTGTATATACATACATGTGTATATACATACGTGTATATACATACGTGTGTATATACATACGTGTGTATATACGTGTGTATATACATACGTGTATATACATACATGTGTATATATGTGTATATATGTGTATATACGTGTATATACGTGTATATACATACATGTGTATATACATACATGTGTATATACGTGTATATACATACATGTGTATATACGTGTATATACATACATGTGTATGTACGTGTATGTACGTGTATGTACGTGTATATACATGTATGTACGTGTATATACATGTACATGTATGTACGTGTATATACATGTACATGTATGTACGTGTATATACATGTACATGTATGTACATGTATGTACGTGTATGTACGTGTATGTACGTGTATATACGTGTATGTACGTGTATGTACGTGTATGTACATGTATGTACGTGTATATACATGTACATGTATGTACATGTATATACATGTACATGTATGTACGTGTATATACATGTACATGTATGTACGTGTATATACATGTACATGTATGTACGTGTATATACATGTACATGTATGTACGTGTACATGTATGTACGTGTATATACGTGTATATACATGTACGTGTATGTACGTGTACATACATGTACGTGTATGTACGTGTACATACATGTACGTGTATGTACGTGTACGTGTATGTACGTGTATGTACATGTACGTGTATGTACGTGTACATGTATGTACGTGTATATACGTGTACGTGTATGTACGTGTATATACGTGTACGTGTATGTACGTGTATATACGTGTACGTGTATATACGTGTACGTGTATGTACGTGTATATACATGTACGTGTATATACGTGTATATACATGTACGTGTATATACGTGTACGTGTATGTACGTGTATATACGTGTACGTGTATGTACGTGTATATACGTGTACGTGTATGTACGTGTATGTACGTGTATGTACGTGTATGTACGTGTATGTACGTGTATGTACGTGTATGTACGTGTGTGTATGTACGTGTATGTACGTGTATATACGTGTGTGTATGTACGTGTATATACATACGTGTATGTACGTGTATATACATACGTGTATATACGTGTATATATGTGTGTGTATATATTATTGCTCTTCTGTTAAAGTCAACAAGAACTTAGAAGAAGTACAGTCTTTTATTACGACGACACCAGCGACCGGCTCTCCTCAGCTCTGATTCCTGAAGTCCATCAATGGAAGTGCTGAGTCAGCAGAGTTCAGCACTGAGCTCATCATGGGATCCTTCATTGACCCGGTTCAGTTCCATCACACGGCCGTTGAGGTCAAGACACACTCTGCTCTTTTCACCGTCGTCATTTCATCTGAACACGTGACGCTGATACACTCAACATCCTGTATTCATACTGTCACACTGAATAATCTCAGCTCAACATACGTGAGATGGTTTTCATGTGGTGTTTGTTTTAGTGGATTCATCGCTTTGTGAACGAACAAAATGAATCCACGACGTTCTCAATCGAATAATCACTTTTGTTATTCATCAAGAATTAATACGACAGTTTTTGGGTTCAGCTTCTCAAATTTGACTATTTGCTGCTTTGTTTTATGTTGTCACTCTGATGGAGACTCTGATCAGCTCCGTACATTTTGGTTCAGACGTTCATGCTCCCCACAGGATGAACCCTAGGGACTATGTAGATGCATTTGTAGAGAAGGATTTAGTTTAGACCTAAAAGTGTAGAAGCTGTTCATTTAATTACCATAAAACGTCACACATTCATACTCCCCTCAGGATGAACCCTATGCAGGACTTCAATGCATCCTCATACAACGGTTCATATGTTCATTTACGAAACGATACACTCAGCTGGACTGTTTCATGCTAATTAGCAGGTCAAAGGTGATACTTAACATTCATGCTGTAGATGATTGATTTAGAGATGTGATGAGCTTCATAGATTATAATCACTCACAAAGTTAAACTTTATTTCCTGGACACACAGAGAGGATTGTAGCTCAGCTATTACTTGACGAGGGAGGATCTCATTATCATTCAGTCGTGACCTCGTTCATCACTCTTCATTCCTCCTGTGTGTCCTTGGTATCACAGCTGGACGGACACACACACACACATATACACACACACACACACACACACACAGTGCAGGAAAACATGGCCGCCTGGCCTTTGTCATCATGACTTTCTGTTTCTGAAGACTGCAGCTGTCTGTCTGTTAAAGGTTTAATGTGTAATGTTGTGGAGTTCTGTATTTATATGATCACAGATCTGTGATTATAATCAAGGGGATCATCACGTCCTCTCCTCTTTGTGCAGCGTTGTGGTTCATGAACTCACTTTTTATCCAGTTATAATCTTTGTTGTTATCTTATGCAGACGTGTGATGCTAATGTTAGCTCAGCTTGTCTCTGTGTCTGTGTGGAGCTGAGTAAACACTACCAGAGCTTTAGAACCAGCAGTGGATGAGTCCTCTGAAGACGAGCTCTGACTGTACGTCTCCTCCTGCAGATAACAGACCCTGACTGCAGGTCTTTGTGGGCTTGTGATGCGTCTCGCTGTGTGCGGTGGCACAGCAGTGTGGAGGTTATGACTCAGCTCAATGCACCACCTTTTACAGGAAACACTTCAGTGGTTTATCTGATGACATGGTGCTGTAACAAATACAAATTCAACTTATGGCTGAGACTTCCTGCCGCTGGCTCTCAGTGGGTTATGTAACCCTGAATATTCTTCATGTCGGTATGTTTCTGTTCAGGTGTTTAATCTCTGAAGGCCTTCAGGACGTGCAGCTGATCACTGAAATCACAAGTTCATACCTCTCTGTCTTCTGCTTCAGACACGTCAGCAGGTTTAAACTTAGGAGAGCTTGTGATGCTCGGTGCAGTTTGGTCTGGAGATACGGTGGCCTTGGGCGGACAAATGACTGAGGAGGCTTTCAACATCAGACTGCAGGGCGAGATGATTATTATTATTATTATTATTATCATCATCTGGTCTCATGATGAAGACAGGAATCCAACAGTTGAATAAGGCCTTGATTGTTTTTCTAGATTAAATAATGAATTAAAATAAAGGTAGGACATTCAGATCATTAGTAAGTTATCAGTACACAGCACTGTTATTGTTGTTTGCACTGTTAGCAGCGTTAGCGGCTAGCTGCCGGCTCAGCCGAGCGGAGGCAATATGTAGGTTAGCATGCTAACGCACTGAACTAAGATGGTGAACTTGGTAAACCTGCTAAACTTCAGCTTGTTTGTAGCATTACAAACAGCATTAGCAATTAGCATTTAGGCAGAGCACTCCTCCCTTTAATGGTTGAGGTTTGGGGAGAAGACAACACGTTTCTCATGGAGCCTACAGCTTCACTCTGACATGTTATATTCTTTCAATTCATCTATCTGAATGTATATACACACAAACACGTTCTCTTCACTCTTGTTGTTTTTAATTGAAGACGTGTGAGGCCTGATGTTCTCTTTGAGTTGATTTTGGGGGGGAATGTGTATTTTTTAGATTTCTCCAGGAAATGAATAAATAACCGAGCAGAAGATATATAAATATCTTTACTGTAGAGAATGGTGTCTCACGACCTCCACTGATCCAGATTAACATAAAATAAGAGTTAGTTTTGGGTTTGAGGTTAGGAGAGAGAGACGGAACGATAAATGAATCAACAGAAAACTATTCTAAAGACGAAGAGATTCATCTTCAAGATAATTGTTATTGATTATTTGATAATGAAAATAATCATGAGTTGCAGCTCTTTACAGTTGACACACTTTTTATTATTTATGGTGAAGTTTCTATTATCACTGTGGTTTCATGAGCTTCAGCTGAAAGAGTGTGTGTCTTTTGTCTGATTACTATCTGTGTTCTTTGATGGCAGTACAGGGATGGATGATTGTTTTTGTTAAGGGTGTGGTGTGTTAATGTTTTACCACTAACCGCATCGTCTCACACACACACACACACACACACACACGCCCTGCAGTGTGGAGCTGCCACGTGTTTCAGCCGTTAATCACGCTGAGAGTTTGAGTCAGAGCTGCTTCTCTCTGGGTTTCTTCCTCTGACTCAGGACTGTAAATTGTTTTCTTCAAAAGGCTTTCTGTTGGTGTGAAACTAATCTCTCAACAACCGTGTTCATCTCGGGATTCTGCAGGAGAATAAACATCTCAAACATCCAGATTAAACATGAAGCTACTTGCAGAGAATTCTCTTCTTTAATTGAACGCTCGAGTGCAAAAATGAGCGCGACAGTTTCAAGATAAATGATAGAGGAAAGAAATGAATAAATGTTTCTGTGTTTAGATGCATGCACAAGACGGTAGTTATATTTAATTACACTGGTTTATTCCCACAATCAGAATTCTTATCTATTCAGATTTTCTGAGAAATTTGAGTTTGTATGTTATCATTTTAGATTGTGTCACAATATCTTTAAATATGATTTCATATATCAAGATGTATTGTCGTGTCAACTGAGACAATCCTGTCCATATGTCTGAAGATCTGTGTGTTTTCTTTATATTTGGTTATAAAAAGTTACCTTCTCATACCTCGTATGCTCCTCTGATGGCCTTCAAAGAAGGTTCTCATATCTGTCCCTGTTGTCTCCTCCGTCTCCAGCTCCTCCTGCTCAGTGTCTCCATGGTGAAGTGGGCGGGGTCTGATGTCAGCCCCTCCTCTCGTGGATCCTCCCACCATGCCCACCATGGTTTCTAGGCTGCCCAAGTTCGGCTCGAGGCCCAAATCCACTGCACCTTCCAACGGCGCTCAGACGGTTACGACCGCCGTCGCTGTCGCCGCTGCGAGCGCCGGCACCCGCCTCACCAACGGGTTCTACCACCACCCCGGCCCGGCGGGGGTCAACGGCGGCCTGACCGCGCCCCCGACTTCTGTCAAACAGAATGGATTCATCCGAGTGCCGACTGCGTTCTCCATGAAGTGGAGGAAAGAAAATGAGACGGTGGAGGACGGAGGAGCCGACGGAGAGAAGGAGTGGAGACGAGGAAAGGGCGGGAATCGCTCTGGTAACAACATCCATCAGTTTTACCCCCAACGGCAACCGGGATCCCCACTGGTGTCGCAGCGGGACGCCAAGAAGACCACCACGTCCTCTGCAGGGAACCTTCCCGTGAAACTTCCCGTCTCTAGAGGCGGATCTCTCGGTTCCAAACCAAGCCAAACCGCATTCGGGCTAAACGACGGCATGAAACAGACCCTGAACGGTCTCTCTGGATCCAATCGCAAGGGAGGAACCAACGGTTCTCTAAGACGACCCCACGGCTTCGCTCGTTCAGGTGGTTTTGGTCCCGGTTCTGGTCCCGGCTCTCGATCCGGTTCCCCGCTCCAAAAGAAACCACCGGCCAGCCGCTGTTACTCCAGCGACAGCCTCGGCTCCGCGGCTGTGTCCGTCCAGCTCTCCGAGAGCAACCGATTCCGGTCACGCAGCCTCACGCAGGTCCGACGGCAGCCCTCCCCCACCCTCGCCCCTTCTTCCTCCTCAATATCTCGCAACCCAACCGGGCGAGGAGCTTCCTCTGCTCAGACTCCTCCAAAAGGCAGCTTGTTGGTGAAACCCCCTGCTGGTACCAGCCAGACTCCTGAGGGAGGAGCCAGAGGAGGAGGAGTCAAAGTTCAAGGGAGGTCAGGGGTCAGCATCCCTTCCCTCCTGCCCACCGCTGCCTTAAAGAAGCCCCTCCTCCTCTCCAGCCTCGGCCCCGCCTCCAAGCCCAGCGGCATCAGCTATAAGCTGTCACGGCCGTCACTCATCAAGCAGTCCCGCCCCCTCCGAGTAACGACGGACAATGAGCACGGAGGTGAACAGGAAGCGAACCGAGGACCGACGGCACGGAGAAGCTCAGTGGAGACGCCTTCTACCACAGAGACCAGTCCAGGTGTGACATTCTTATCTGTTAAAACACAAGACACTAAAACACGCCTCTCTTTGTTCAAATATTCTCATTTTCTCATCTCTTCACTTCTCATCTTAAACCTCATCAAATCTCAACTCATCTCATGTATTTCATCACGTTTTCATTCCTAATTTCAACTAACTAATGTCTCATTATCTTATCTTGTGTCTCATTTTTAACTTGAATATCAAATCTCTCGTTCCATTTTGTCTGTTTATCTGTTCTCATCGTCTCCTTTTTCCTCATCAGGCTTCATTACTCTTCTCATTCATGCCGTATTTTATACCTCAATCCTCGTCACATTCGTCGTGTCGTCTCATGAAATGTTTTATTCCATTTTTCTATCGCTGATATATGAAGACAAATTTCTCACCTCATGTCTCGTATTTTCTGTCATCTGTCGTCTAAACTTCTCATCTAAGATCTCATTTTATTCAGTGTTTCATCTCAAATGTTTCATCTCTTTGTTTCATTTCATCTCTCATATCCAGTCATAACTCGTATGTTATACTTCATACAAACTAATCTTATACAGCTCTGATATCTGTTTTCTTCCCCAGAGAGTTCGCCAGAGGCTCCAGAGAGGGAGGGGCTGCTGTCCCAGGAAGAGGTGTCCATTGTGGGGGAGACGCTGGAGGACATGTCCCTGTCCTCCAGCTCGTCTCTGGATAGAAGCGACACCAGTCAGGAGTACATGGACGACTTTGACAACCTCGGTAAGAAAAGACGACACATGAAAACAACAGTTATTTTCTTACTTATTAAAATGTGTGCAGATTAATGGAGTCCCGAGGGCTGTTTATTTTTATGTATTTATTCTACTGTTTTGATTTTATTTTTATTGTTAATTTTTATTTAGTATTTTTTAAATAAATATTTATTTGTTTATTCTGCAGGTTTTAGAATAGTTTTTGTGGTTTTGCTGTCGGACGAGCCTCGTTTCCATATCTGAGTATGGTGTTAGTGTGTTTGGACGAATACAAATTGAAATGTAAAAACATATATATGAATATGTGCAGAGGATGTCTTCATGAGGTTAAAACTGTGAATGTTAGTATTTCCATAATAAGTGTAAATCAGCAGCATCTCTCTTTGTGTATGCAGGAAACGGAGGTGTGGCCATATTGCTCCTCTCTAAAAACGAGGAAGACGACTCGGGGCTCGACCAATCGTGCGCCAGGTTTGACGAAGACGAGGTGGCTGTCGGCGGCGTCGCCAAGGCAGCGGGACTCTGTTTCCTTGACGAGGGCGTGGACTGGTCCGGGATGACGCTGAGCGGTGAGTTTCATATTTTACTGGATGAACGAGGAAGTCCTGAGAAACATTTCTGACAAAACTGTTGGTGTTTCTCTCTGCAGGGGAGCGAGGGGGGCACCAGCTGAGCCCAGTCCCCCGTCGGAGGAGGTCCAGTCAGCCGGACTACCACGAGCAGGTAACCATCAGATCAATAAACACTTCTGTGACTGTCGTATATCACATAATATAATACATAATGAACACTTCACTTCATCAATAACATGCTGGATTTACCTGCTCTGCACATAATACGTGATGTCATTAACGTCTGAGAAACACAGAGTGGACTCTGGGATTCGCTGTTCGGGTCGACGAGTAAATACTTTATATAAATAAATAAATAAATAAATAAATAAATAAATATATAAATAAATAAATA